GGGGGGGGGGGGAAGTAATGAGGATCCGGGGCATGATGCAGGACGCATGCGACGCGTCCTTGCCCCGGTCCTCTTCCCCCCTGCCCGCAAGGCCGCCTATTGGTGGTCGGCGGAAATCGCCGAGCTCAGGCGCTCCGCCGGCCGCATCTGGAGGGCGATGGCGGCCCTGCAGGACAGGGACACGCGGGTGGCGGCCTCGGCCGTCCTCACGGCGAAGAGAGGTGCCTCCAAGGCCTTGGCCTGGGAGGACCTCATCTCCTCTGTAGACCGGGATCCTTGGGGGCACCCATACCGGATGGTCATGCGGCGATTGCGCCCATGGGCGCCCCCACTCATGGATATCCTGGCCTCCGAGCTCCTAGACAAAATTGTGGAGGGGTTGTTCCCGAGGATGGGAAACAATATCTCACCCTATACGGGACCCTCTTTTGACTGGCAGGAGGACTCGGGATGACGGTGGAGGAGATGAGGCGAGCCGCCAAGAGGCTCGGCGCCGAGGGAAAAGCGCCGGGCCCTGACGGCATCCCGGGCCGAATATAGGCCTTGGCTTTGGCCGAGGAGGGAGGGTGGAAGGCCGCCAGAGGCGGCTCTGCCTCTGCCTCGAAGCTAGCCTGTTTCCGGCCCCGTGGAAGAGGGCCAGATTAGCCCTCTTACGCAAGGAAGGCAAGCCGGAGGACACCCCTTCCGCATACAGATTTTTGTGTCTGTTGGACGAGGCAGGCAAAATGTTCGAGAGGATCATACAGGCCCGCCTCGTCCAAGGGAGCGGTGCACTTGGACACGGTGCATTTGGACACAGCCAATCACAGCACCGTATGATTAGAGACATTTGTAGGGTCTTGGAACAGCGACTTGTGATTGGACTGTGTCCAATTGCCCCGTGTCCAACTGATATACACCCCTCGTCCAACACCTGTCCCGGAATGGTCCCGCGCTTGATGATGCGCAGTATGGCTTCCGAGAGGGCCGCTCAACCGTGGATGCGATCATGCGTGTCAGGTCCCTCTCGGTGGCCATCGTGGGGGGGGAGGCGTTAGCTATGGTTGCGTTCCGTTTCGCCCATAGCACGCATCGTTCGCATAACCAATATGTAGCGCCTTTCGTTTCATTATGCGCGCGATGTACGCTGTGTAACGGAACGATATTTATGCATTAGAAGCGCAAAATGGATTCCACAATAAACAGCGCTGTTAATATTGTGACAATGTTTTTAATTGATGACGCTAATGAAAGTGACAGTAGTAAATCATTTAGTTGCATTTCTGATTATTATAGTGACGAAGAATATGAAGACAATTCGAGCATCGACTACGAATTGGAAATTTTATATTCAGTTCTCATGGTAGGCGAGACATGTGGAGAAACAGTTTTGAGAGAAAAAATAATAAATTTTGTGGAAAGAGTTATTCCTGGATACACGAAGCACGTATTCAAAGAACATTTTCGGTAAGTGCAAATATTTTCATACCCAGTAAACACCAAGTAACAGTAACATAACCTCAATGTGACAATTTCCGACTCAACAAACAGTAGGAAATTGAAACATTGAGATTATATTACTATTACTTGATGTTTACTGGATATATATTTTTTATTCAACTCGACTGATGTTTTAAAAAATATTTATAAATAGTTTATACATATCTTATTCAATTCTATATTCAAATTTTGTTTATTAATTGTAAAGCAATTTAAGAAATTACCAACAGTTTTATGTCTTGCAGAATGTTTCCGGAAACATTCGAAGTGGTGTTACAATTAATCGGGCCAGGACTAAAAGCCATAAATGCATTGCCTGGAAAAAAAGCAATCTCTGCCGAAAAGCAACTCCTTATAGCAATTTGGTTTATGTCTACTTTTGACTCTTATAGATAAAATCTCATATATTAAAATATTAACATAAATTTAATGTTATTAATATAAAGAAAGAAAACAAAGAAATTTCATTAATTAATAGTAAATTAAATTAAAACCGACGTGTTCAAACATACATATGAAAGAAAATTAAAAAATTATTAATGATTTGACAGTAACATTTTATTTATATTATATTGTCTTCAGGTCTGTATCAACGAAATTTGGAGTTGGAAAAGCAACTGCATTTAGACGAGCAGAGCATTAAAACGAGTAACATATGCTTAAAGGGACGTCTACATTGGAAGTAAACAGTAAGAAGTAGGAAATAAGAATAAGAAATTGACCAATCATAGTTGATTATTCTTCTCACATTTGACTGTGGTTGGTCAATTTCTTACTCTTACTTCCTACTTCTTACTACTTACTTCCAATGTAGACGTCCCTTTAAGCCCATTCTACAATTGCGTAAGCGTAGTCGTGAACGTAAGAGTCAACCAATCCGAATGTTTTATTCACTGATTACTTTACTCTGATTGGTTGTCGTAATCACTTACAACTACTTACAACCACGTTCACGCAATTGTAGAATAGGCTTTACATTGCATTGCTCCTCAGTTTATTCAATGGCCCAAAAGTGCAGTTGCAACAAAAGTAATGAGGGAATTTGAACAAGTTTGTGGTTTTCTAAATATAATAGGTGCTATCGATGGAATCCACCTTAAAATTCTTGCGCCAAAAGAAGATCCAGACTCATATATAAACAAGAAAGGTTTCCATTCCATAAATTTACAAGTTGTCTGTGAGTCGCGTGGACTATTCACTCATTGTTAGGGCTATCGCACACAAATTGACATAACTGCATATGCATAACATAAAATCGTATGGACCAATGAGCATCGAATATTAAGCATCGAACACCAATATGGCGACTTAATACTCGATGCTCATTGGTACATACGGTCTTATGCTATGCATATGCAGTTATGTCAATTTGTGTGCGATAGCCCTTATGCCGGACACGTAGGATGTGTGCATGATGCAAGAGTTTTTCGAAACTCACCAGTAACAGATTTCCTTCAATTACCTCAAACCTATTTTCCTGATAACTCTCATATCATTGGAGATGCTGCTCATGGTATCCATCCACATGTATGGTACCTTTTAAAGATAATGGTCATTTGACAAATGCTCAAAAAAATTTTAATTATTGCTTGTCATCTACGCGAATGGCAATTGAACGGGCAATAGGTCATCTGAAAGTTCGTTTTAGGATTCTATTAGACTGTTTACCTTTAACAGATGTGAAAAAAATTCCCGAATTTATTTTGGCCTGTTGTGTTTTGCACAACATTTGTATTTTGCAAAATGATATAATTGAACTGATGGGTATATATAGAAATGAAGAAGAAGCAAGACCGATTTTACATGATAACGTAGTTGAATTAGAAAATGCTAAAAGAAATGTAATTATGAATACTTTACCAAGCCTTATAGAAATATCATACTAAGAATCATTGATAATTACTTATTTTCAGTATTAAAAATACTGGATAATAAGTAATTATCAATGATTTTTAGTATGATATTTCTATAAGGGAAGAAAAATATAATATTAAAGTATAATACTCATAACATTATATATATCAATAAAAATGTATATTAAGTAATAAACGAATTAAACGTTTTTGTTTATTTTTTATTTTATTATGAACCCATACATGTGTATCTTAGGTATAAAATTATAATTTGCATGTTGAAATTATTATTATAATGTAAATAAAAAATTATAAATAAACGCCACATTTAATTTGATAGTTAGAACATAAACTGTACTCTATTTGTAAGGTAAAAGTTAATACCATAAAATAATATAAAGGTTAAATAACATTAAATTAGATATTACTTTAATATAAATATTTTAAGTATTAAAAATAATACTTAAAGGATGATAAAATAATATTTATAGAACGATATGGTTGACTTTAATTACTTTCAGATATGTAGAACTAAAAATACTGTCGTTTTTTATTAATTTATTGCATTAATATCATTGTATGTAGAACTAAAAATACTGTCGTTTTTTATTAATTTATTGTATTAATATCACTTGTACGCATGTTGCTTTACCCGTATTCTATAAATCTCTATTTATCACAGACTTATTACGAACAAGCTATCATACAAAAAATAAAATATAGAACACACCACCGAAGCAACACCGTAAATAATGTCTTAACGTCGAAAATAATATCTTAACAATATTTTAAAGTTATTATATAGATAAATATAGATATCACAATCATTTTCGTTTCTCAATTAAGGCTTTCATGATTTCGATCAACGATTTTTGGACCTTCATTTTTTCCTCATGAATCTTCCTTCGTTCTTCCTTACACTCGGCGTGCCGCTGTTCTTTTAACTTCTTACGTTCTTTTTTCTCTTCTTCTTGTTTAGCTATCACTATTTTGTTTTATATCTTTAATGAAAGTCTCCAAAACAGTCTCAACTTTCCGGTTTTTGCGTGAAACTAAAATAGAAATTAATTATGAAGTAAATATGTACAAATTATAAAGAATCAAAATCTTATTGATTTATTATTATTTACTAGAATGCAATGAGAGTGATTCTGCCACATTCACAGCTTTAAGTGGACCTTCGCTCGATGCAATTGCAGGCGGCATTACAAAAGCTTTTTTCTCAAAAATTGAATCCATCACCTTTAAAATTATAATTATAAAGCATTTACTCAGATTGTCTAAATTAATTATGTAGAAAATTATTAAATTTAAAGAGATTACATTTAAAATCAATAGTATCAAATATATATATATATATATATATATATATATATATATATATATATATATATATCATTTTTAATGCATTATTTATAGATAAGGAACATAAATGTACCGAATAAAATGTCCATGTATTCCGGCAATTTCCGTTCTTTTTATTTTGGTCCCTTTGATTATCAATATTGGAGTCAAAATAAATATATTTACCAAAAGAGCTGCAAAAAAAATATCAAAATTCGAAAAAGGCCTTATTGTACATAATTACCCGAAAAAGAACCAGGAATATTGAAATACTAGATAATACACCGATCGTACCTGACGGTACTTCTACAGCAGCGCTTTGAGATCGATATTTCGGCCAAATACATGATTTTTTAATATTTAATTAAAATTATCTGGATGACTCACAAATCTTTTTAATGATACTTCATAATTTTTCATACGAAATACAAACGATACCATATCGAACCTTTGTTTAATTTACCTCCAATCATTATTTCCGGCTAAATATATGGTCTAAAAAAGAACAATTAATTACAAGTAATAGAATGACTCACAAATCTTTTCAATTGCACTACAAAACTCTTCATACAAAATACAAACGATTTAAAAGAATAGTTTTCCTACTGGAGTTTTTTTTCGGTCAAATACATACAAATCATCTGTTGCAAATAAAAGAACGCAACCAAGATGTTAATCTATCGTTACTAGAGATAAAATAGAGTCAAAATAACGTTAATCAGACGTCATTTTGATCAAATATTGACCAAATTTACGTCAGTTTTTGGTGAAAACGTGAGATTGACATTATTTTGACTATTTGTTCTACCTGGGTGCATATTTCCGCAAAATTTTATCAAGAATCTTGTTATAATATATTTAAAGTTTTCACCGTGTGTATACGCTTTGTGCATATAACGCATATATTCATGAATACATACACAAACTTATTAATTATTAATTGTGTCAGACCTTTATCGCAATCTCTACCTTTATCGTTCTTGTTTTCTGAATCGTAACACTATATTACGACATCAAAAACAATAAAATATGTAAGTTTTTTATAGATCTTTCTTACAGTTAAAGAAGACAGAAATCCCAGTTATGAAATTGTACGATTACACAAGAATCTCAGAATAATGCAAAAAACAAGCGCGAAAATAACAAATAGATATGTTAAAATATTCTATTTGTTAAAATATTAAACTTAAATAACGAGAAGAATTCCTGAAACGTCTACATAGGAGAAAAATAATTATTCACTTAAAATTTATATATTCAAATTAAAAATAATTGTTTTTTATATATAAGCAACAATGTATAATTTTGTTAGAAGAAAGTAATACTTGCAAATTGATTAAACAAATTTGTAAGTTATTCCGTGCACTTCCCTTTTGCTGTAACAATCAAATTACAATAATTTATTGTAAATTAACCTGAATGCGAAGAAATAGGTTGAGAAGATAAAGTGTATGTAACGTTAATTTACGGCAAATTATTGATTATTAAAGCAAAAAAGGAATGGACGGAATATTCACAGATTTATTTAATCGTGTCACTTTATATATTTTTTCTATTTCGCAACATATTTCGCAAGAATATTTAGCATAAATTTTCTCGCTTCTGACGTTATTAAAAAGAGATAATGTGAGGAGCCAGGAACCTTAATATTCTTTTTACATTGCATCAAATTTTTAAGAGCGAATAACTTGTTACAGATAGAGTTTATCGCATTTTTACTTGTATTCATTTGGTTCGCACGGCCGCGAATGTCATATCGACGTATTCGTTAATGAGCGGTATCGTCTGCTCAATTAGTAAGATTTCAACGGGTGAGATTTTCGGCAAACCCAAGTTTCTCTTCACGCCATTCACGCTGAGCTCTAGCTCGCTGGTGAAAAATCGACAGATTGGCAGAACATCGAATCGCACGTAGGCGCAGGTGATAATGTTATCGTATCCGCATAGACCACCATCGAGGGCGGTTAATAGACTCATAGCAGCCGTTCCGGACGATAACGAAGAACGATATCTGAAGAACGTCTTCGTTATTTCCCCATTTTCGTCGGCGAAATGACTGCAGCAGACTTTAACGTTGTGTCTAATAAATAATTATGATTGCGATATTTCTCGACAAATGTATAAATAGTAAAACTATTTAAATGCACACTGAAGTTGGAAGCTCATCAAACTACCAAAATTGCAAGTCATTATTGTGTGCGATAGGCTGACTTAATAATTATATTATTTGTTATTATATTTAATTGTTATTAATTATATTATTATTGCGTAAGTCCATCGGTAATGACTTTGAATTTTAATGCTGAGTTTTTAACTTCATTATGTCTAAACTGTTTTGCAATCCATTATACATACTTCTCGACAGATTTTGTTAATAGAAACATTCAAAATCTTAAATATTGTCCGAGGCTTTCAAGTAATACTTTAAACGATTTGAATCTTTACACGCACAGAAAAAAGAACAGTTTAGAAAATATTTTTATTTTTCATATGTAAATCTTTAAATGAGATTAAATAGTGTCAAACGAAAAGATATTTGCATTAATATATTTTATATTATTCAACAAAGAAAAATATATTCTTATTATTAAAAAATAATTTTCTTGTGGGAAGCACGAAATATTGGATTAAGAATATATTTCTAAATGTTGGAAAAAGAGAGATATTATTACCAAAATAATCATATTGTATTTCTCTTTCATGAAATTATTATAATACTCAAATAAATTTATTATATTATCGAAATTCAGGACTTTATAATATTATTTATAATATTATTGAAATTCTTCTAACACGTTATATATTGTTACTTATATATGAAATAACGATTCCCATACAGCAAAAATAAAAAAGAACGTTCTGAAGACGTTCTAAGAACATTCATATATACTAAGAACGTCCCAGAACATTCTCTGAAGATTTTGTGCTATCTGGGTTGTTAGTTTGAGTATATTAGTTTCAAGTGAATACTAATTTTTTTCTGTGCGAACATATCGCTTGAATTCGAATTTTTGAAAACTTCGAAGACTCGGAGTTCGTGTGTTTATCATTAAATACAATATTTCACCGAAAATGTCGGTTTCTGCTTACATTTGTGAACTGATTGAATGGGACAGCGCGCGACAACAGAGGAACGACAGTGCACTCGTCGGCACCGCCGGCGATTGGCACCGATAGATTTATGGCTCCTGCACACAGGACGCGGTAATGCTTGCCGCGCGGCGGAAGTTCGCGCGACAGCCAATCAATATGCTGCTTTCCGTAATAATCTTCTAGTTCTTATGGAAAAACAATATATTGATTGGCTGTCGCGTGGACTTTTGCCGCGCGGCAAGCATTACCGCGTACTGTGTGCAGGAGCCATTATGGGGACTGGAGATGATAGGAACAGTAGTCACTCATAATCCCAATAAACAATAATGATTTATTCCGTTGTACACCGCGGCGGAGCGGAAGATAACGTGCGACAAAATGTTACGATAAAAATCCAGATGCTTCTCTGCGGTGCGTTCGAGAGCGAGTGTGTAAAACGATAGATGACTAGACTGCTGCGGCCATTCGTGTGGCGCTCTTACTAGAGTCCCTATAATCAGAGTCTGGCCAACAATGTGCAGGTTCTAATTGGTCGGCAATTTGTGGCTAATTTGTCGCTGAATTGTTACAAAATGGTGCTGAACATCCACTCATTTTTATAATAATTTACTGCACTTATTACTGCAATTCTTGTTTTTTATTTTCCGACTTTAACCTTTTCTTCGCTCTTATTTTACAAGCTTAACCTCAGAGCAGCTAGACTGAAACGCATGCGCAAACGCGTTAGAAAAAGATAGGTTGCACAGAGAGATAGGAAATTTATATCTTTCTCTCTCAAAGAATTTAGCCACAATTCCTCTGCTGGCCAGACTCTGATTATAGGGACTCTAACTCTTATTAGAGCAGAGAAGCATCTGGATTTTTATTGTAACATTTTGTCAGGCGTTATCTTCCGCTCCGCCGCGGTGTACAACGGAATAAATCGTTATTGTTTATTGGGGTTGTGAGTGACTACTGTTCCTATCACCTCCAGTCTAGGGATGGGCGATTCAGTAGAAAGTATCAATATTTCATATCGATATTTCGTATCGTAAATAAAATTATTGATATATAAAAAATATCAGGTGGAATGTATCGATATATTAGTAATATCGATATTATCGATATTATCTAACTTTTTCCAACATACCGCAATATAATGTCTAGGTATAGCTTCCGGAATGGAGTCGTGTCTTGAATCAGCGATATGCCGATGTTTCGCAAACGTTGCAGTTTGCATCATCAGGGCTGAGAACTCTGATACTGAGCTCCCTTGGGTAAAGGTAGTCCTTATATGCCCCCCTCCCCTCCTTTGTGTAGATGGTGTTTAGGGAGTAGAGGACGAGGCTTGAATCCAGCCAATCAGCGTATTTTAATTGATCAGCTGGTCAATTAAAAAACCGGGAGGGCAGTATGCCAAATAGAGTTTACTTGCATACCTTTGTCTCGGTTGAGGTTGTTGGGATGTTTCAAAATTTCTAGACCTTCACGATGTTTTCTGGCAAAATAACTGTGAGGGAGCCAATCTGGTGGCTTTGTCATATTATACGGAGTGTCCAGTCTCCATCCAGTGTTCAGCTAGAGCTGATTGAGTAAAGTGACCATACTTGGTACATCGCTGGTGTTCCTTGATTCGCGTACTGATCTTCCTCCCGGTTTCTCCTATATAAACTTTACCACAAGAGCAAGGGATCTTATATACACCTGATGTTTCTAGGCATGATTTCTGATCCTTCGGATTTGGGAATAAATGGGAGACCCCCCTATGAGGTTTGAAGATTACTTTGATTTTGTGTTTACCCAAAATC